GGAACTCAAGGCAGGAACCTGGAGGCAGGAACTCAAGCAGAGACCGTGGAGGAATGCTGCTTGCTGGATGGCTTGGCCACTTTAATTTTTTTATATTTTATTTATTATTTTTATGTGTATGAGTGTATTGCCTGCATATGTATGTATACAAGTGCACCCATGTCATGCAATGCCACAGAGATCAGAAGAGGGCTTCAGATTCCCCTGGAACTAGAGTTATGGACGGTTATTAGCCACCATATGGGTGCTGGGAATCAAACCCGGGTCCTCTGCAAGAGCAGCTAGTGTTCTTAACCACTGAGCCATCTCTTCAGCCCCTCTGCTACTCTTGTACAGCCCAGGCCCACCTACCCAGGGATGCCTCTGCCCACAGTGGCCTGGGCCCTCCTACATCAATTAGCAATTAAGAAAATGCCCAACAGACATGGTCACAGGCCAATCTGATGAAGCCAATTCTTCTCTGAGGTCCCCTCTTTCCAGGTGTGTCAAGCTGACAACTGGAGCTAATCATTGCACTTCCTCAAATTTCTTTTGTCAGCAACTTAGAACCAGTGAAAGAAAAATGATTAAGACAGAGCCTCTGGTTCAAGAAGAGACCTGCCCTCTTTTGAGAAGGACCTTGTAACACCTCACCCATATATATAATCAGGATCCCCCAAAGCCTGCTGCTATTCACTGATGGAATCAAACTAAAGCCCCCCAGGTTAAAGTGGATTCAAACCAAGTCCCCCAGACCAAAGAAAAATATTCAGAACAAGGAAAATGATTAAGACAGAGCCTCTGGTTCAAGAAGAGACCTGCCCTCTTTTGAGAAGGACCTTGTAACACCTCACCCATATATATAATCAGGATCCCCCAAAGCCTGCTGCTATTCACTGATGGAATCAAACTAAAGCCCCCCAGGTTAAAGTGGATTCAAACCAAGTCCCCCAGACCAAAGAAAAATATTCAGAACAAGGAAGTAAAAAGTAAAATAATTCTAACTGCTGAGAAAGAGCTGACCTTTTCATGCTCCATACACAAGCCGGACATCACCCAAAACTTCCCCCCTCCCACTGCTGCCGGTTGCTGCCAGCTCCCTCCCACTGCTGTCGGGTTGTGTTTCGTGGTTTTTGTCTTTAAAAGTCACCTGTAAGCTGAGCTTGGGGCTGCTGTTCTCTCTCTCTCTCCAAGTGAGGCAGGAGCCCGTCTGTGCAAACGATTAAATCCTCTTGCTTGTTGCATCTCCTGGTCTGAGGACTGAGTTACTGGGGTGTGACCTCCCGTGGACGTTGGGTACCCCAGCCTGGGGGTCCTACATAACCAGAATATGCCCTGTGGGGAAGTCACCTACAATTTGTCAGATATAAGAGCTCAGTTGACTCGAAGAGTTACTGCTGCTCTTGTGTGCATGCTGGCTTCTGAATGCCAAGTGACTTATGGGGGCCTAGCTCATATCTATCTCATAGTCAACCCAACATGTTGTGGACCCACCCTGGGGTCATATCCTAGTCTCCCAAGCCCATAGAGTGGTGGGTATACTCAGAAATGGCAGAGCCCTGTCTCTAGAGCAAAATCTCTAAGGTAGAAGAGGCCAATCCAGACTTTCTATAGGTGGGGCTAGAGAGAGTGGCCATCTTCTGTTTTAGCGGGTTAGCTGGAAACACTCAAGCAGGCTGGGAAGAACGGGTCTGGATGTCAGAGGACTCTCTTCTCAAGTTTCCCATGGACTCAGTGTAGACAGCTGTCCCTTTGACTGCTAGACAAGAACAAAGTGATCAAGGCCAGTGACCTGCAGGCATCTAGAGACACCTGAGCCTTCAAGAGAGTTTTCAGGGATGGGTGGGGAGGGAACAGTTTCCACTAAGCCTAGCCTCATGCCCTGGGGCTGCTGCAGCTGAGGGAACAGCTGGGCTTAACTCACCAATCCTCCAGAGTCTTTTTCGGTTGTTACTGTGACAGCCACCACCTTGCAGAGTCAGCCATAAATGTAATTAATGTGGTGTCTGAGCAGATCTAAGCATTATTAGTCGGTGGGCTGTAGGAGCCCCAGAGGCTTCACTGGTTCAAGCAGCACCTGAGGGGGACAGATCTTGCTCCTAAGCAATGCTCAGCTTGCACTTGGAGCTGGAGTTGGTAGACAGATATCCAGGGGAACTGGCTCTTACTGCCCCAGGTCATAAAGCACATTCCCAGCTTTTCCTCTTCCCTTGACTTTCCCTACATCATACACTATGGGTCCTGCTTCTGGGGTCACCATCCGAACTGAGATGAACAACATCCTCTTGGAATGCTTGCACACCCAGAATCTTGGAATGTGGCTCATTTGGAAACAGGGTTTGCAGATATAATTAAGATGAGCCATACTGAAGTATCATAACCCTTAAGTCCAGTGGCAGGTGTCTATATGAGAGAAGGGACAGAAAAACTGCCAGATGACGGAGGCAGACAAAGGTCAGGGTACCTACAAGCTAAGAGTGCCTGTGGCACTGGAAGCAGAGGAGGGAGATCAGGGCAGATTCACCCCCTTGAGGCCTCAGACAGGACCAACCCTGCCCACACCTAGGCTTGGGACTTCTGCACTCCAGAGCTCTGAGAGAACAGATTTCTGTTGTGTTGTTTAAACCCTCTAGTTTGTTATAGTAGCCCTAGAAAATAGATATCCTCAACTCCAAACCCTACATCCACATCCTTGACTGGGCTTGGCTGAGGGGAACCCCCAGGGAGTCAGCCCTTCATGTCTGCTCACCTCATTGGAAGGAGGGCAGGGTTGGATCCTGGGGGATGGGGGCTTGTCCTGTCCTTGCTGCCAGAGGGAAATTGGCGCTCTGTCCCCGACACCCAGGCCTCCTTAGCCCCTCCAGCCTTGGGGAGGGGCTAGCCTGGGAAAAAGACAAAGGAGTCTCCAACCCTGAGAGCTAGGATGAGACTCCTCCAGAGCCATTGCAATCTGGAGGCACCAACATCCTCTTCCCAAGCTGGCTGTTCTCAGCTGAAGCCCTTGATCTACCCCTGGCCTTCAGTCAGCTCCTGTCCTAACTACCAGAACAGAAGCTGGTGTTTGAAAAACATCAGCCCTTCCCGTCCTTCCTCCTGCCTTATAAACATGTGGGCAGAAATAGCAGCCTGCAGGCTGGAGGGAGTGATTGCTGGTTGCGGAATCAGGCGAAGGCTTCTGCCCGGGTGGGCCTGACTGCGTGGGAGCCCAAGGCAGTCGCAAAGGCCGCTTTAAATAGCTCCCTGTGGGTACACGTAGCAGAAAGAGGGCAGACTGCAGGCGGCAAGAGGCAGGGCAGAGGTGGGCGGGCACTGTAGTGGGCGGTTCTGCAGTTGGAGAGGAGTTAGGCTGAGGGTCTCCCGATCCAGGTGAATCCAGCAGCTCTGAGAATTTGAACCCACCCCTCTCCCCAAAGGCCCAGAGCTGCAGCTGACTCTGCCTGCTTTCCTTGGGGTGGGACCCAGGCTACACCTAGAGTGAGAAGTGGCAGTGGGACTATCTACAGTGCACACCATCTTGGGATGTGTCCCCAACTCTGGGCAACTCTCTGGGCCTGTGGAGATGGGAATATCAACCCTGCACCTGCAGGAAGCCTACAGAGCAGAGGTGTTGAGGTGGGGAAAGAGCCCCTACCCCTGGGGCCAAGCAGGGACATTCCTGTCCTGTGGCCATCCCAAGCTGGCTGGGTTTGGACTGCCCCTCCCTGCTGTCAAGAGGTGTCCTGGAGCCCCAGCTGACCCAGATCCGGCTCTGCTGCTGCCTGGCCACCTGCTCTCTTCTGGCTCCTAGGCCTATTCTCTGTTTGTAGCTCCTGGTCACACTGGGGCGCAGTCCTCCCACCCTCTGGGTGACCTGCCAAGCCACACAGCCTCCTCCTTTAGTACAGAACAGCAGAGGTGCCAGGAGGGAGGAGTCTGTAGGAGGTAAGAGGTCTGAGATGGAAGCAGAGACTGAGCACTTGGTTGTGGTCTGGGCAGAGGAGCCAATGTGTTCCTCTGCCCTGTGACCCTGGTGAAATGCCTGGGCCTATCAGTGACTTTATGACTCTGCCACCTACAATGGCCTGGAGTTGCTGAGGGCAGGGCAGGTCCTTCCTTGGGCACTTTTGCTGATTCACACAGTCACTGCCAAGCTCTCAGTGGCCTGGGATGGGGTCCACCAGGAGGGTGCCACGGGGCTACCCCGCCAGGCAGGGTGCTTGACCTGGCTGACTGCCACTTCTTGAGCTGGTGGCTGCTGGCTATGCCTCGACCCTGCAGCAGAGTGGGGGTGAAAAGCTGTTCTGCTAATTGTACCCTTTTTTTTCTTCCACATGGAAGACTCTGCCTGGAAAAGCTAGATCCCTTTATTAAGAGCTGCCTGTCACACATTCCAATGGCTGCAGGGTCCTCAGGCTGCAGCAGGAAGGAGCTGAGGGGTTTTTGTGAGACTGAAGTTGCCTCTGAGTTACCATTATTTCCTCCAAGAAGGTACCACAGTGGCTCCCTGGGCCTGGGCCTCCACCAGGTGATCAAGGAGGTAGTGACTCCATAAGAAACCTCCAGGCCCCTGTACCTCTGCCTTCCTCGTGCCCCAAGGATACTCATACAACTCATCTTCTAGGATGCAGCCCCTGAGTTCCCCTGACTCCAAGACTATCCCTGGTCCTGAGATTTTAAGAGGTCATTTCAGAAGGAGGTGTCTGAGATCTGGCGGTCTCAGCTCACGCTCCTAGATCTGATTCTGCCTCTGAGGAAATGGCTACAATATAGCCCGGTAACAGGCATAGGACAGGTACCAAGGCATGAAGCTGGCATCACCAATAATGATTTCTCTCCTTTCCAACCCCCACCCAACCCCCTCTGGCTAGTCAAGCCTCCTTGAAACCCTGATTCCTCCATTGCTGCCCTGCACATGGTACATGTTCACCCTAGGTGCCCCTACCCAGATGCCTCACACTGAGCCTGTGGGGAGGATGGCTGTCCAAGAATAGGCAGAGGAGGCCACAGTGCAGCTGCTGTGTGCAAGAGATGCTAACCAGTCACCAGGTCAAAGCTTTATTTCATGCTGGGGACCAAAGAGGCCTCATGATGCCTTTCTCCGTTTCACCATGAGGGTGGCCATCCCCTCCCGCTCTTCTGCTCTCTGCTCTTGACCCCACAGAACAAAGGCCTAGAAATCAGGATCAGTCTGAGTCTAAAAATTAATAGCTCCCAAGGCCCAGCAGTGCCAGGCTCACCTAACGGTCAGTCTGGCTCTGGCCCTCCATCCAAAGCCGGTCCTGCTCCATCTTGCAGGAAATGCAGGCTGGTTTTAGGGGCAAAGCAGAGGTGACGCTCAGGAAGCCAAGGCATCCTCTCTGCCCACTTTGAGACCCACAGAAAGGGCACTTCCAGAGTTCTGGCAACTGCCACCTGGCCACAGGGTATGTGAAGGTGGCCCGTGTGTTGCTGTCACATGGTGTATGCCGCCCAGTAGATGATGTTGACTGCAGCAAAAGCTGCAGGGAATACAGCTCGGGCATAGATGTCGATGGTGTCTGCATCAATGGGCTTGAGTCTGGCACGGATGCCCCCTGGACCCCCTGGGCGGGACCCTGCCTCCTTCTTTGCCTCCACTTCCACAGACCTGTAGGAGCCCATGAGGTTCCCAGGGACGCGACCCTGCCGACGGGAGATGGCCAACTCCTGGCTGACCCCAGCAGCGGAGAGGGAAAAGAGGACAATGGCATTCCTCACATCCATCTGCAGGGGGCGGGGTGGGGGACAGGGGGACAGATAACAACATCTCTGTCTATGCTCAACAAGTACCACTGTAGCCTGCAGCAGGCTGCGCTAAGGAGCCGGTCCCAGGGGCAGAACTCAGGGCCAGAACTGGCCAACAGGCAGGTAGTCACCACCCACCTTTTGTGTCAGGTGGGCATCTAGCCTCACTTCTCCCTCCCCTTTTTTATCCCTCCTTGGTTGTGAACGTGAGACAAGCCCACCTGCCCTCTCACCTCGGCCCTTGGCTTTGTGACCTTGACCTTGGCTTTTCGTTTCTTCCTGTAGTCAGCATTGAAGTGAGCGAAGGCATACTCTACCAGGGCAGCAAACACGAAGACGTAGCAGATCCAGAAGTACACGTCCAGAGCCTTAATGGCTGACGCCCGTGGCAGGGAGGAGCGGGCACTGACCATGAGCGTGGTCATTGTCAGCACAGTGGTGATGCCTGGTGGGCATGGGTGGCCATTGCTGGAGCCCCACCATCCCCTTCCCACCCTAGTTCAACAGGGCCTGGGGGCCCAGGGAGAGGGGAATCCCCCAACCTCGACTCCTACTCAGGTCTCCTGAGAGCAGGTTTGGCCTGGCTGATCAGTTAGTTACACAGGGCAGACAGCATGGGTCTATGTGCCAAGGGCCTGGTTTATGGATGATAGGATATATATAGGATGGTACAGCCCTTCCACCAGCTCATGGAAGGAGAGGACAGCCCCCTTCATACCTAGAGACACCCTGGCAGGCACTGCTGCCTGGCTAATCCAGAAGGAGACCCAGGACATGGCAACCAGAAGGACAGAGGGCATGTAGGATTGGATGATGTAGACACCACGGTTCCTCCGAAGCTGGAAGTGCAGGCTGAGCCGTGGGAACTGGCCAGCTGTGGGGACAGCCCACTGTCAGACCAATGTTCCCTGCCCATCCACCCACTCCACAGACTCAGGGAGGGATTTGGTTGGCTGTTGGACCTACTGTGAAGCTCAAAAGGGAGACCCTAGAAAACCTGCCTTCTACACCTGATAACCCCTTGCCCTAGGTCTGGCTACACAGAGGTTAGGTCACCCAGACAAAGAAGTAGAAGAAGTTTCAAGTTTGCTGAGTTGGTCCTGAGAGACCTGCTCGGCCAGTCGGGGATGGACCCCTTCTCTGTGACCCATACCACTCTATGTAAATCCACACTCTGGAAGGAAAGGCGGCCAAGGAAGGGGCTTAGACTGAGGGGCCTTAACATATACCTTCATGTGCCCTCTCACCCTAGAGTGTTGGGAAGAAATAACCCAGGAATAAGATGATAGAAACCTGCCTGTATGGCACAACAGCACGACAGCATGTCCGCATCCCATTTGAGCACAGCTGGCAACGCTCAGCTAATGCCAAACTCAGCGGTTTTCCAGCTGCATCCGAGGCCCTCAGAGCTGGATGGCAGCTCTGTCAGAAAGTACAAGAAATGCACAGGCTGCTCACAGGAATGCCCCCAAGTTACCCGATTTGAAGTTCATCAACTCCGTGGTGAAGCGGTAGCTGGTGATGGTGAACTGGGCCAACTGCAGCCTGTCTAGCCCATGGATCTGCTCCTGGTTTTCTGACCAGTAGTAGACGATGTCCTCTGAAGAGTAGCCATCTACAGGAGAGCCCACGGTTGGACAGCAGGGCCCAGCTGAACCCCTGGAAGCCCCAGAGACCATACTTCATCTACACAGAGAGTCTGAGGGGTAGGGCTGACCAGGTGACAGTGAGAGAGCAGAGGGTCAGTCAAGAGCAGGGGATCTCTCAGCTCTGAGACAACATCTAGCACCTCTGAACAGGTCTGGATGGGGCCAGAGGTGCTGGCAAAATGGGATCGCCATTGATGGGGGGGCAGGGATGCACAGGAGCCCAGGATAGCCCAGGACTGCTATGTTGGGATAGCCTGGCTGCCATAGCCAGCTCTCCCAGGTCCTGCCCCACTGGTGTTGGTCAAGCTCCCCCAGGCCTTCCAGATCCTTCTCTTCTTGTCCAGGTTACTGGCTCATGGGGAAGCCCTGTCCTGGATGCTTCCTTGCCTTCTAATCCAGGCTAGCTTTGTCCTGACTCTGAGCTGCACAGCCTCAGAATCAGATCTGAACATTCTGCTCCACTGGAGAAGTCAGTGCAGCCCCAGCCAGAAAGGAGCCCACACGAGGATGGTCACTTACAGCTCTCCAGGTCCAGCATGCATTCCTGCTCGTCCATGGGGTACTTGGCTAGGTCCATGTCGCAGGCTACTGTGGAGGTAATGCTGTAACAAACAAAGCAGGTCAGTGATGCCATGAAGCCCCTCAGAAGCTAGCATATCCTCTGCCCCCAGATGGCAGAGATACCCGCTGTATCAGCCTCCTGCCCATCAGGGGCCACCTGCAGCTCCAGCTGCCTGTCAGATTTGGTTGCCATGCCTCTGCATCTGGGTAAAAACTGAAAGCCATGGTCATCTTCATAGACATGTGTGACTGCCTTTAGGACTCCCAACTGAATTTTATTTATTCTCTTCATCCTTTAAAATGTTTGACTATTTATCCAAGTTGGGGTGTTTATGAGATAGGAACTAGCTCAGGTCCCCAGGTCCTGGCCCAAAGGACAGCTGATGGGGGGAAGGGGGATAAGACAGGTTCAATGTTGCCAAATGGTCTGATTTTCCAGGAAAGAACTATATTTAGGTTCTTGTTTAAAATCTCTTGATTTTGCTTCGTTTATAAAAGGCACTTGTGTGAAAACAAATGTTCAAACAGTGTATGTGCGTTTGTAGCATTATTTATAGCAACAATGTTGCTCACGATGGCCAAAAGGTAGGAGCAAGTGTACATCAATGGAGAGGGGTGGGGCAAATGAAGGCCACCACACGATGGCATATTATTCAGCCACAAAAGAGAGTGAAACGCTGGCATGTTACAACACAGATGAACCCTGGAGACACAGCTGAACAAGAGAAAGAAGCCAGGTATAGAAGGCCCCGGAGGGTATGAATCCACTCGCACAAAATGTACAGATCGGACAAATCTGTGGGAACAGAGAGCAGATGGACGGTGGCCAGGCTCCTGGCACTTGGGAAGAGGATCAAAAGTCCATGCCTGTCTGCCTTGGCTACATAGCAAATAGTTAATGTCATTCTGAGCTACATGAGACCATGTCTTGAAAAATGAAGAACGGTCAGTGAGATGGCTCAGTAGGTGCTTGTCACCAAACCTGACAACCTGAGTTCCATCCCAAGAAACACCACACCATGGAAGGGGAGAACTGTCTCCTGAAAGTGGTCCTTTGACTTCCACCTCTCTCTCTCTCTCTCTCTCTCTCTCTCTCTCTCTCTCTCTCTCTCTCTCTCTTTCTCTCTCTCAGAGACACTATGACTGTTTGATGAATACCAGTCTTCCACAGTCACAGTGGGCCTCCTCTTGGGGCAATGGAATGTTTCAAAGTCATTTAAGGGTGAAGACTGCAGATGGCTGTTCTAAATACATGAACCTGCTCCCTTTAAATTAGTGAATGTGTACTATATGAATTTAACTTCATTTGAGAAACAAAAACATCTGTCTGCCTCCTGTCCGCAGCCTCTGGAGCTAATGCCAACTAAGATCTAGAGGGGACAATTAGTGTCACAGTCTCTACTATTGTGTCTCAGGGTTCCAGCAAGAGCATCCCATGATCTGTACCAGGGTCTGGACCCTCCTTCCTTCAGAACCCAGAGAGCGTGGGAAGGCAGGCCCAGCTCACCGGATGCTATATAGGATCACACCATCAGGCTGCAGGCGGATGAGCTTGTTTTCCACAGTCACGTCATGGAACCAGGCAGATTTGGCGTTCACAATGAAGGTGTCAGGGAGCCACAGCTTGTCCACAAAGCGGCTGTCCAGGCCTAGGGTCTCATTGGTATGGTTGTAGGACAGCCTGCTGTCCCTCCAGCTCTGGTGCAAGAACACTGTCATGGTGTATTCCTGTGGAGAAGGAGAGGCAGGGATACTGTGAGTCCTTGCTCTCATCCTGGGGGTACAGAGCCTAGGGAGCAGTGCTGGCTGGCACCTACCATGTTTGCCTCTGAAATGTGATCAATGCTGGCCACCTCCAGGGCAAGTGCCACGTTCACAGGGGGACCTGCAAGAAGGAAGGCCCAGCTGAAGTTGGTGTGGTAAGAGCCCCAACTCAGTATCCTTCTGTCCTACCAGGCTAGCCCAGAGAGACAGGACAGGAGAAACAACCCAGGCCTTTGCAGGGACCTTGGGGTTAGTATACATTTTTCACAAAGCCTCGAGAGATCTACCTTCCCCCAGGGGACCCAGGGCTCGAGGTCCAGTGAACCTCCATAACTGCCAACCTAGAACCCAAGAGAATCCAACACCCACATCAAACCCAGAGGTGGAGCTGTCCCTGCCTACCCATGCTCCCACCCCACCAGCTGCCCGTACCGCCAATGCCTGGCCGGAAGTTTCGGGCATAGCCTTCCATAAGGCCATCCAAGTTGGGGAGCCAGGATATCTCCAGGTTGGATCCCACGTAGTCTCCAATGTCATTCATCGCTCTGGGAACACAAAGCCAACTGGTCATACCAGGTAAGAGCATCACGACCTGGGCATGGAACACTGTCCTTGGCACAGGTGCCAGCCCTCCTGGGTCCATTGGGCAGGACACAGGACCTCCACTCTTCTACCTTCCTATGCAGTGCCAGACTCCTCTCTGCCTGGTCTTTAGGGAGCATGCCCTTTGTCCAAAATATAAGTCAAGTCTTCAGGTTCCCTTGATGGCTTACCCAATCCCCTCCTCCATTTGTTCATGGAGGAAAAGCAGAGGCTCATCAAGCAATCACCCAAAAGTCCCTACTCCCAAGGAGGCTCCCCAAAGGAGAAGCAAAGGACCCCAGCAAGGGCACATAATCTCCCTATCAGCTCTGAAGAGTGAGGATTCCCCGGAGATAGCTCAGGAGAAAGGAGTGTAAATTCCTGTACTGTCTTTCCACGGAGAACCAACTTGAACCCCACCAAAGTGGCCATGTTCATCTAGGGCTCAGCCTGACCCTGGAGCAGCTGGGAATAGGTGAATCTCATAGCTGCCTGTGTTGTCCTTGCAGCCCCCACGAGGGCCACAGGGGAGAGGGCCTCTGAAGCAGAATAAAAAGGCAGGGAACATTCAGGGGATGTGAGAAGAGGAGCCCTTTACTCTGAAATCCAGCTGAAGCCTCTCGCCAGCAGAGAAGCAAGAATTCTAGCAGAGTTAACAACTGCTGAAGGCCTTTCTTCCTTCCCATCTACAAACCTACAATCTTCTAGGAATTTCACCAGAAACTCTGTTTATGGGAAAAGGGTATGTACTAAGGCCCAGGTGTGACTAGTGGCTTCTGGGTTTACCTCATCAGACTATAACTCCACCCAAGGCATCTCCAGAGCCATCCTATTATCAAGAGAGTTAAAAGGAGGGGGAAAGACTTCTTAGCAAGCTTCTGAGATGTAACTTGAGAGTCACAAAAATGGTAGATTGGCTGGTGCTAGGACATTCGTTGCAACTCTTCCTTGAGGAGCCAGTACCCACGCTTGGATCTGTCTTACTTCCCTCTGCCCTCTCGGGGGAACCATGTCCACACTAGTTATGGCTTCCTTTCTGAGTGCCTTTCTTTCTCCTAATCCTCTTGCTTAGACCTATATTAAACCACCTCTCACAAAATCTCCAACTCTCTTTCACAGACTCATCTTGGAAATTATTCTCTGCATCAAAGCCACAAATCCTGATTTGGCCTGATTTGGGGTTCCTAAATGCCTAGGGGAACACCTTAGTTTGCTGAGGGTGACAGTGTGGACACCCCTCCCATGGATCTAAAGCAATATATGAGGGAGTCATCATGTCCCCCCCTCATGCACTGCCAGAGCGTGGAGCCCATGGCAGCCCCTCCATACTTTGTTCTGCTTATTGGCACTGGGTAAAATAGAACCTAACACACACACACACACACACACACACACACACACACACACACACACACACTCCATGCCTATCTGGAACCTCAGAATTGGACCTTATTTGGGAATAAGTGTAATTTGGGTGAGGCCACAATGGAGTGGGGCAGGCCCCAATCCCATGACCCTTAGTAGAAAAGAGATGACAGAAATGAGAGGGCAGATGTAGACGAGGGGAGGCCAGGGAGTACATCTACAAGCTGAGGGGCACCAACGACTGCTGGCCACCACCAGGAGTGGGAAGGGAACCCAAGGCAGCTGTTCCCATAGACGTCCCAGAGGATTTGTGGAAAAGAATAAATTTCTGTTTGAAGTCACCCAGCTTGTGTAATTTGTTGTAACAGTCCAAAACACTAATGCATGCTGTATTCCCTCCCATAGGGGAATGGTCCACTGTGGAGGCGGGGGACTTTGCTAACAGAGTGGGACTACTACAGGGTAGGCTATGAGGTAACAGAAAAACTGCAGTTGCATCTTGGTAGTAGCTATATCTGCCAATGGCAAGATGCTCCTTTGTAGTTAAACATCCTTGACGCTTCAGTGAGTTGTTCCCACTCTAACAGAGATTAAGGCACCAGGACATCCTCCCACACGTTTACTAATGAAGGGACTACATCTTCAGAACACCTGATGTAATTATAGTGTCATCTGCATTGTGGCGTTGAACTCTCATTTTGTGAGGACCATGCAAAGAAATACTCTAAAAGAGAGATCCTGTCCTCTATGACATGGGCGCAGGAAAGGGTCACATTACCCCATGAATATACCACCCACTTCATAAATATTCAGGAAAGTTTCTTTAAACTCCACAACACAGCCCCTGACTTGGTGCTGCTGCCCACTCCAATCTCTCTTTGGAGTGCTTGTTTTGCTAAGTAAATTTTTTCTTAAATTGTCTATGTCTCTTGACTGAATTCTTTCCTTGAAGAAGACAAGAACCAAGAAGTCTCCATAACAACAATAGAGGCCAGCCATCCTGCGAGCCTCTTGTTACTCTGACCATCCTGTTCCAAGGTCTAAGGAATGACTTTGGATGTGGTCTCCAAGTCCCTGATCTAAGCTCCTTGAGAGAGTCTGAGTCAGCCCCATCCCGCACCTATCAGAGTGAGGCCCCTTGCTGGTTTCGCCCATCAGGCCACTCAAGAGGCTCTCAGTCCCCTCAACGCTGGGTACTGGGTGCCTGGTTGCATACCTGAATTGACTGCTTTTCTCCTCATGCAGAGCCATCCAGCCAGGCTCATCTTTGGTCTCCTGTTCTCGCTGTGACAGCAACTAGGAATCACACCCTCCTGCTCTGTGTGAGGACCAATCCCATCTGGTACGCCATGCAGGACAACAGCCCAGGCCCTCTTTCCACCTCTGGGTATACCAAGGGCAGGTCTCCTCTTCCTACTCTACCTCTCCCTTCTTCCTCCTCCCTGCTCCCTCCCATCCTCTCCATCTTCAGCTTCTCCCACATAGTTTTCCTGTCCCTCCAGACCTTTTAGCCCTTCCTTTTTTCTTCTCAAATGTCAACACTTCATTGTCCAACACCTTTCTAAGTCTTGCTTTGAGACATAGCCCCAGGGACCCTTCAGGAATTGTTTCTAATTATCCATCCTTTCACTTCAAATATCATCAAGCGGCTCCTTGTATATGGTGTGTGTGTGTGTGTGTGTGTGTGTGTGTGTGTGTATATATATATATAT